TGTGGCTTTTTTTTATATCCAAACAGCCAAAAAAAAGAAAGAAATAGATAATAGTAAATAAAAATAGTAATTTTAGATATCCCAAAAATTTTACTAAAATTTTTATCAAATGTTTATATGAATGTATACTCATATGAGATATTTGATAAAAAATTTAATATAACTTCTAAAATATCTAGTATCTTTGAAATTAAAAAAAAGAAAAAAAAAGAAAAGAAGAAGAGCATAGTCAACGATGCAATGGAAAAGCTACCACGGGAAAGGTAATAACCCCTTTCCCATGTATTAATGGATTCTATTTGTTCTAATCTCATTAATGCATTAACCTTAATGACTATGGGATTTGTTCGTACTTATCTCCCTTTTATTATTTATTTATTTATTATTTTCTAGTTTTCTTTTTTGAACGATGAAAGTAACTCCCATTTCAAGCAAAAATATTCAAACCAAAGTGATGATCAAGATAAATTTGTTGGCATCATTAAATTTAAAAACAAATTTTTTTTTTTTTGGGTTGTAATTTGTATTATATCTATTTAAAAGTTTAACGAACATGCTATGCCATGTTTTTATTTTTATTTATGTTTATGTTTTTTGTGTTATCAAAAACAAAAACAATGAAAATTTAGAAATACTCATCATTTCCATATCATTTTGCTTTTTGCAAAAATATATAATTTTTAAAAATTCAAAAAATAATATAAAAGTGTTGGCTTAAAAAATAGATATTTTCACAAATAGATTGCAAAACAAGTTCTTCGTATAAGTTTTCATTTTTTCTGTTTGGAGCACTAAAAATGAAAATGGTACCGATTACCAATTGTGCCCTTAATTTTTTAAAAATTTCACCAAATTAGCAAGCTCTTTAAAATTTGACTAGTAGACTATAGTATTTCTCCACTTGCATAATACAAAAAAAAAAAAGAGATGTCTGCACTCTTTGTTCTAATTCTAAAAGAACCATTATACTTTTGTTCTGTGAAGTAGATCATTGAGAGAATGCTCCAATGTACAAATCAGCCAATTATTTGACTACACACACAATAAAATTATGTACATGTACATTAAAAACAAAATCCCCTTGTTTAGTATAGATATTAAAACATTAATAACAACTACTCCATCTGTCCTATTTTATTGGTCCACTATTTCATTTTGGAATATCTCAAAATGATAGTCTCATTTGAAAAGTCAAAGTATAAAAAATAATTGATTTTCCAAAACTACCATTTTTGAGTAATTATAAATATATTAAAAATTTGAAAAGATAGGGACATTAGTGGAAAAAAAATACTTTGAAATTTAAATTTAAGTGTAGTAATTGTATGCCCTCTTAAAAAGTTGGAATCCCTAAAAAGGACTAACAAATTGGGACGGCAGGAGTATAATTTTATTTTATTTTTCTATTGTCATAAGGCTAATCGAATTAATGATAAACTCTTGTACGAAAAAAAAAAAAAAACCCCCCACATATAAATGATTGTCTCCCTACATACTTTGTATTAAAAATAATATAACTAATGAATGTCTAAATTATCTCATTCTTACCATTGATAGTTTTGTTGTTGGTTATATAGCTTGCATCTTGACTATCATTAATCATCTAGTATTCCATCTCTAATTTTATCAAATTTTAAAGGAGTTGATGCGGCAAAATAAATGAACACACTTTCTTAAGTGATACTATGAATATTGATGTAGGTGACAGAAATAGATTTATTTTTCTCCTATCAAGTTTTGTTAGAGCATGATCATAACGAGATGATTTGGTTATTCACTATCCCAATTTTATTGCCTTATTGAAAAGTATATGGGAAAAAAATACAATATAGATGTTTTTTATTTATTTATTTGATAGGCAAAAAAAAAAAAAAACTTTATTGATGAAATGTTTTTATTTATTTATTTATATGTTATATTGATTCATCTTTATTAATTAGAATGCTTGTACATAATGTATAAAGTAATTTACTATTCCATGTTTACGAAATATATATGCTCCTATGTAAGTTGACTTGTGGTTTAAATCACCAAATTTATTGTTAATGAGTTTTCTCTTTTTAATTACTAGAGAATAGAGATGGATGTCAGCAATTATCAAGGGTTTAATTTGTATGAATAAAAGAATTGTTTTTCCATTTTTTTAAAGTTTATATATTCCCATATCATTGCTTACTTTTGATGTCATCTGGGACTAGAAATATAAACTACCCTGCCTTTGTTGGTGTATTATTATGCAATGACAAGCTTAATTTCATAATTTGATATTTTCTATTGTTTTATATGTTGTTGTGATTGGAACTTGCTAATAAGGTCAAGCTGGACTTGAAATTGGGTGTGATCATACCAACATTAATGCACCGGATCCCATCATAACTCCGCAGTTAAGCATGCTTGGGCGAAAGTAGTGCTACGATGGGTAACCTCCTGGGAAATCCTCTTGTTGCACCACTTTTGCCGCTTGCTTTTTGAATTTCATTATATTCAGGAACTTCAAATTTTAGATCTTCACCGATCATCCTGGATCTATGACCGACTGTTGCATCTCTAACACTATTGAATCTCCATAATCGTGTCTCAAGCTACGCCGGAGACCCAAACCCAAACCCCTATCCCTGTTCTCCTCCCTCTCTTCCAACCTCAACTACAGTCCCTCCATTTGTCTCTTATCATCCTTCATCACTTCAGTTCGATCCTCCCTGCAACGCCTCTCCTCTCATTTCCCTCGCTGGTGACCCAAACTCGAATCCCCTATCCTTGTCCTCATCTCTCTCTCTTCCAACCTTAGCCACTATCACTTATTCTTCCCATCTTTTTTTTTTTTTTTGGTTCAGCCCGCTCCTCATTTTCACCACTTCAGCTAGAGAATGGTGAGACAAGGAATTTAGCAAGGTGGATGGATACCAGTGGTGAGGCATAGAGTTAGACAAGGCAGTAGGGATGTGAGCTCTAGATTATTCACCATATTTGTGGATAACTTGCCAAGATCTTTGGATCCTAGAGGAGCTTGTTCAACTTATTCGCGAAGTGTAGAGTGGTCAAGGATGTTTTTATTCCGCAAAAAAGAAGAAGAGTAACTAACACAAGGTTTGGATTTGTAAGATTTGATTGTTCAGTAGCAACCAAGATTGTTGTACAAAAGGCCAATGGATTATGGATGGATGACAAAGCAATTGATGTAAAACTTGCACAGTTCGGAAAAGGAATAGTGGAGAAGGGCCCTAGCCATTTTCATCAATCAAAACCATCAGTCCCAGATATAGAGGGTATGAGTAGAAAGAATGTCTTTGTTGATAAGAGGGCCTACGCAAAGGCAACAAAAGGAGTTACTATTGTGGGAGGTGGACTCTTAACAATAAAGGCAGAGGAAATAGGAAATGAGTGGTTGTATAAGAGCATTGTGGTTCGTCTTAAGGCTAATTATGCAGACGTTAACATGAAACAGGAACTAGAAGAAACAAGTACAGAGGGCATTATGGTTAGAAAATGAGGAGGTAGAGATATAGTGAGATCTTTCAACTCCAAGGAAGAAATTAACTCTAAAATGAAAGAGAGGTAATCATGGATTGGGGTGATGACATAATCCAATGGAGACCTGGGTTGGTTCTGGAACAGGAACGAAGAGTGTGACTTAGCTGCTATGGTATTTCATTAAATCTATGGAACAGAACAAACTTCAATATAATTGGCAGTGTATAGGGAAAAGTAATCTACTTGGAAGAGGATATGTGCCAACCGCAATCGTTTTCTTGTGGCAAGATTATAATCCTCACCAGCTATATGAAATAGATTAACAAGGTCATAAACTTGGACTACATAGGTACATTATATCCTGTGAGGGTGAGTGAAGACCAGACCATCATAACACAAACAATCAAGGAACCATGTATTTGCAAGAAGCATTAGGTTTTAGTTGATGATCACATTAGCTCAAACGACAATGGCAAGCAGAATAGTGAAGGGATGAACAGATGGACAAAGATTCAAATTGAGGTGGACCAAAACAAGGAGGTGGTCCAAAACACTGAGGTGGACCAAAACACTGAGATGGCAAGGGGTGAGAAGCCATATGGAGAGAATAAGGATTTACAGATGAACAAAGATTCACACTGGAAGAGTGACACGGTAGTTATAGAGTCATACAATGGATTAGCCAAGGAAATTGAGGTAAAAGCATGCAATGAAATAAGGATAATGGGTTAGGGATTTGATGATCAGGTGTACACACCTGATTTTGTTAGGAGTTTGAGTGGATCAAGTACCCTTAGGCTTGGGCTCAATTTGGAGGTGGTATTGGGCCTTATCCAAAGAAGTAATGAATTGGGAGGACTACATGCAAATCAGAATGGGCCCAATGGAAATGATTGTGTATAGGTAAATGGGCCTCTTAATTCAGTTTCTAGTTTATCTCAGGAGCAAGGGATGAATATGGGATGTAACTCTGTCATTCAAAGTAAAAAAAAGAAAGAAGAAAGCGACCAAGAAGGTTAAAATCAAAAATCATCGTCAGGGAAAAGGCTATTTCGACCTAGCAAGAAGATATGGTCACAAAGGTGCATCAACAAGGAAAACAGCTATAAAATGAGCAGTCTTCAGAGCAGCTATGGCTAAAGCTTTCCTTTCAGCTTCGATGGAGAATGAGGATGATAGAGGCAGGTTAATCTTGAATAAAGCCCAAGCTACTCTGCAGATAGGAAAACTATTGGGTGTGAATTTTATAGGAAAGGGGTTGAAGCTCTTAACAAAATTATGAAACTTGAGGTAAATGCTAAAGAGAGAGTTGGAAGGCGCAATGGAGCAGCCATTTAGGTAGTCTCTATTCTGGGGATCAAAAGGCGTTTTAAAAGTTGTTATAAGGATAATCTTAGAGAACATTAGAGGTGTGGGCTCGCATCAGAAGAAAGGAAAGATAAGGACAATTCTTAAGGAAAGAAATGTAGATTTAGCCCTGTTTCAAGAAACCAAAAAAATTGCACTATCAGAAAAAAGAAGTTAGATCAATGTGGGCTAGAGACAAAACGGATTTCATGGTTAAAGACCCTACAGGTCTATCTGGAGGTCTCCTATGCATTAGGGATACTGAGGTGTTCCAACTACAAGTTTGTTGTAGTAGTAGAAGATTCATTCTACTGTCAGGTACTTTATTTAACTCGCTTGATTGTGTTACTCTCAATATCTATACTCCAAATGCAGTTGGCAATAGGAAGAAATTATGGGATAGTTTGATTAAACTGAAGATGGACTTCCATAATCCTTGGTGACTATGTGGAGATTTCAATGAAATTAAGAATGCAAGCCAAAGAAAAGGTTTCTCTAGGAGAGATAGGGGCATGAGGGAGTTGAATGACTTTATTGGTAAGTGTGAAGTGAAAGATCTGCCATTACTTGGGAGGAAGTTTACCTGGTGTAATTCAGTAAAAGGTGAGAAGTGGAGCGGAATTGATAAAGCTTTAGTAGATCCAAAATGGATAGAGGGGTTTAACTTAAAATTATGGGTTTTACCAAGGCTTATTTCTGACCACTATCCTCTATTGTTGATGGAGGATGATAGAGATTGGGGCCCTAAGCTTGTCAGTTTTCTAAATGTTTGGGCCTTGCACTCTAATTTTCTATCTTTTATAGAGTAGACTTGGAAGGAATCAGTAGTGCAGGGCTGGGCTGGCTTTATTCTCCAAATCAAATTGAAGACTTTGAAGGTTTCTTTAAAAAGCTGGAGAAAGGAGGTATTTGGGAATGTAATTTTCAAACTAAAGACAGCAGATGAGGAACTCCATACATTAGATCTTGTTGCTGAATCTAGAGATCTGGTTTATAATGAAATATTAAGAAGAAGATTAGTAAGAGAACAAGTTTGGAAGCTAAGTAGGATGGAGGAATGGATATGGTTGCAAAAGTCAAGACTCAACTGGAACATGAAAGGCGATAGAAATACTAGATTTTTTCATTTGATGGTCAGGAGTAGGCAGAGTTGAAATGAAATCAATCCCATCGCAGTTGATGATGTACTGTTTGAAGATCCTAATCAAATTAAGAAAGAGGTATATGAGCATTTTGGCAAGCTTTTCTCTGAGGAATGGGTTTCCAGACCAAATCTAGGAGGGTCATTTAAGTTAGTGTAGTGTAGCTCTTATTGTGGGGGTTTATAGGTAGAGTTTTCAGAGGAAGAAATTAAAGCTGTAATTAGAGATTGTAATGGTAATAAGGCTCCAAGTCCTGATGGATTTAATATGATCTGCTTTCAAAAATTATGGAAATTGATGAAGAGAGATGTGTGCAACTTTTTCAAGGAATTTCACATGAATGGCAAATTGTTGAAGAGATTAAATAGTTCCTTCATTTCACTCATTCCCAAAAAGGATAATCCAGTGGGTCATGGAGATTATAGACCCATTAGCCTTATTGGATCAATGTACAAAATTTTGGCCAAGGTGTTGGCTAGTAGGTTGAAACCTGTTTTGCCCCATATCATTAGTGAATCTCAATCAGCATTTATAGGAGGAAAGAATATTTTGAATGGTGTGCTAATTACAAATGAGGTGATAGATGGTTGGAAGAAAGCTAAAAAGAAAGGTGTGCTAATTAAGCTTGATTTTGATAAGGTTTTTGACTCTGTGATCTGGCTTTACCTTAAATCTATGCTTTTGAATTTTGGCTTTGGAGAAAAATGAACTAACTAGATTGAAGAATGTGTATCATTTGCCAGTTTATCAGTGCTTGTCAATGGCTTTCCAATTGAGGAGTTTAGTCCACAAAGAGGCCTAAAGCAAGAGGATCCCTTATCCCCTTTCTTGTTCAATTTGGCAACAGAAGGCTTTAGTATTCTTCTGTCTACATCACAACAGTTAGGTCTTATTAAAGGGGTAAAAATTGGAGCAAATGGTGTGTTATTGTCCCATCTTCAATTTGCAAATGGTTCACTACTTTTTTGTGAAGCAGAGGAGGTTGAAGTATGCAATTTAAAGAGGATCTTAAGATGCTTTGAACTGATCTCAGGTTTGAGAATTAATTACCACAAAATTCTAGTGTGTGGAGTGGGCGTGCATGAGGATGCCATTGCTTCCTTTGCAGAAAAGTTAAATTGTAAGATTAAGAACTTGCCAATTTAGTATTTGGGGCTGTCCTTGGGAGCTAATCCAAATAGGGAAGCATCTTGGAAACTAGTTCTGGACAAAGTCAGAAGCAGGTTAACTGGGTGGAAGAGAAGATTACTATCATTTGCAGGTAGGCTTACTCTAATTAAAGTTGTAACTTCTTCTTTGCCTGTGTATTATTTATCTCTCTTTAAGATACCAGTAGGGGTAGCCAGAGAGTTTGAGAAACTTCAGGCTAGATTTCTCTGGGGTGTGTCTGAACTGAAGAGAAAACTCCATATGGTGAAGTGGGAGGATATTACAAAAAGTGTGGAGCAAGGTGGGCTTGGCATCCGGAGAGTGAGAGTGGTTAATGATTGCTTATTAGTCAAGTGGTGGTAGAGATTTAGGCTTGAAAAAGAGGCTTCGTGGAGGAGGGTCATTTGTAGCAAATACAACTTACATTTGGGAAGCTGGATTCCATCATTTAGTCCAAGCAATAGACATTCTTGGGTGTGGAAAAGAATCTTATAGATGTTAGGGATAGATCTAGAGTCAAATTTTGAAAAGACAAATGGTGTTCGAATGTGTGTGTGAAAGATGATTTTCCTAGTCTCTTTAGATTGTTAGTTGACAAAGATGAATCATTGAGATCAATGTATGACAAAAAAAAAAGAAAAAAAAAAGATGAATCAGACAATTGGATCTTTAACTTTATGATTGGGAGCTTAGGGAGGTTTCCAGGCTCACTAATTTTCTTGTGGCTACTCCTACCATCAATACTAATCAATCTGATAGACTATCTTGGGATGCTTCAAACTCAGGTGTGTTTTTAGTATCTTCTGCTTACAAATGTATTGAAAACTCTTTTGGTCCAACTCTATTAACCAGTAAGCTTGTGTGGATTAATTATCTTCCTCCCAAAGTCCAATCCTTTTATTGGTTATCCTAGAAAAATAAAGTCAAGACTTCTGTCTTTCTCCAAAGGATTTGTCACGGCCCGAACCCGTCCCTATGGGTTAAGGCCATAATCGGCTAGTAATCACGAGATTACCTACGGCCTCAAACCAAATAAAACAAAACTCATCAGAGTAAAGGGGCCAAACGGAAGCAAATTTAAAACTTTGTCCATAGAGCTGTGCGTATATGCACACCACAACATTCCAAACATTTATATGTTAATAACTCACATCAAAAAATGTACTAACACAGAACACTGTACATACAGGATCACACAAGTTTAAGTCAGTTGAACCCAAGACTTAAATACAAAAGTAGTCCAATGCTTTCGCCAACATAACAAAACTATGAACAAAGGACAAAGGCGAAGACAGTCTCGTATGTGAGATGTTTGGGCTGACTCCTCAAAACTTTGACTGTTTCTCACAATTTCACCAAGGCTGGTTCTGGACGTCCCTTGGCTCACCTACATGTACATGAATGAACGTGAGCGAAAGCCTAGTGAATAATATCAAATAAGAAAGATACATAAGCAATCTTTGAAACAGTTACAGCAGACGGCTTTTGGCCCAATCACTTGTATCAATCGGCCTTCGGCCCAATCATTTATGTCAATCAGCCTTCAGCCCAATCATTCATGTCAATCGGCCTTCAGCACAATCATTCTTGTTAATCGGCTTTCGGCCCAATCATTCATGTCAATCGTTGTCCACCATTCAAATTAATGAACTTACAAAACTTACATAGAAGTAAACAATTGAACAACAACATATTTCAAATATCTTGTTAAGATATTACTCATAGTGATCGGCTTGTGGATTTGCCCTGGAGCTTGACCCTACACATCATATAGCACATAAGGGTCACAAACGATTCAATCTATTCTTTAATTCACATATTCCTCTTTAGGCTTTATTCTTATCTCTTTAACTCAATTACAATGCTTAATGCATGCCTAAGAGGGCTTGCAAGTGAAAGAGAATGGAAAACGAAACACAGAATACACTTTCAAAATTTCAGAAAATAGGGTCCCCGCTCGAGCGTACCCATTAGGTCTGCAAAAGTGCTGGTTGTATGATTTTTACCCTTGAGCGTGAACTCGAACGCACGAGCGGAAGTTCATCCTACATAGCTCCCCGCTCGAGCGTGAACTTCCCTGCTCAAGCAGACACCATGCCTGTAAGAAAATACTAGGAGCTCGAAATCCCCGCTCGAGCGGTGGTTCCCCCGCTCGAGCGGACATCAAAAATTCTGGATTTTCCAGAATGGTTCTTGAGCTCGAATTCAACACCCTAACCAACATTTCTTGCATGCCATGGCTCAAATTTCACATATACATATACTAACATGATACCAACACCAAATTACAACACAATGAAGCTCAATTTCTTGAATTACTTACATGCATGCCTCAAATTAACCCAAACTCATCACCAACACATTAAATTCAAACATGCATAGCTCATACCTCCATGATCTACTCTTGCATGTGAGAAATATTCATTCATATCAACTTAATTGGTGAAAAGATGATCAAATACATGGATTTCAAACAAGATTCAACATAGATTATACACATTGTGTTCAAATATGAAAATTCATAGTAATTTCCTACATGTATGCATCTATTGACTTTAAATTCAACACATACAACTCAATCTCCTCATAAACAATTTAATTCATGTTTTTAATCATTTTTCAACCTTCAATTCACAAAATTACTAATTACAATTCATGCACTCACTTACATAGAGGCTTAATTCTCCCAATCTATGGCAAAATCTTGAGTTTAATCCTCCAATCTTCACAAAATTGAGCCAAACACCCAACTCTCCTTCTTTCTCCCTCTCTAGCCAACCCCACTCTCTTTTTCTTGAGTTAGAATCAGCCAAGTAGAATAACAAAGAGGATGTTTGAGTACATAGTGCCCCACTAAGTCACATTAATTTAATAATAGACAATTGAGCACTTTATGATTAATTAAATCAATTTAATCTGATCTGAATCAATTTCCAAATTAAATTTCACCATAGGCTCTAAAATTATGCCAATCACAATGGCGTAATCAATTTCGGGTTCTGTGGCCGATAAGGCCTTCAATTTAATTTCTAAAGCAGATAATCAAACAGATATTCCTACGGTGAACAGATAGAAATTCAAAACCACATATTTTCACATAATGGCACACACAATCATATCAAACACATAATCATATTCATATTAAGGACCAATTATCATACTACAGGACAGAGATATTACAGTCTTCGCCCTTTTAGGAAGTTTGGTCCTCCAAACTTATTTTACCTTCGTCGGGAAACAAATGTGGATAGCGTAGTTGTATTTCCTCATCTTTTTCCCGTGTAGCATGCATCCCATAGTGTTCTTTCCATTCCACTTTTACCATTGGGATGGACTTGCTTCTCAACTGTTTCACTTGCCGGTCAACAATTCGTTCCGGCCATTCGGCGTATTCCATATTCTCATCCAAAGCTACCCGGTGATAATCAATCACATGAAACGGGTCTCGGAGGTAACCCCTTGTAGACGTCCCCGAACGTCCCAGGAGGAAATCCCCCCCTCCCCGTTTTGTTCATTGGGCTCACTACAGTTCAAGACTCAAAGTCACGGTCCAGTATCTAATCCCGCAGAGTGCAATGCAAGACCGATGAATCATCAAAGAGTCCAAATTCGGAAAATCGTTTTAAATCATGCTAGGAAAGGCATGTAAAATAAGAAATGATTAGAAGCTCCCAATCCATAGTCTACCCAAAATGAACCAGACAATGATAAAACAATACATCACAAGAGTCGCCACCTAAATATTTTATTTTGGAAAATTTAGGAAACCCTGACTCGTTGCCTAAGGCCATGTGTCCGTCATCACCAAAGTTGCCTTGGCTTGGGAACTTGGGTACGATTGGGGAAGGTCACTTCGTGAGCACCCCCGCTCGCCCGATCAAAGATCGGCCTCTACTAACCGCGATATCTAGTTTTGAAAACATTATGCGTTCTTATTCCGATTATTAGCCTAGATTTACTATGTGATGCGCACAGCATACAAGTATAGACTGGATCGCCTGAATTGGAACAAAACATCTCATGTTTGTTTTTTAAAGCGGTTTGCTACTCGCAAGTAGGCTAAAATGTGGATTTGCCACCCTCAAGTGGGCTTAGAAAAAAAGGTGATTTGCCACTATCTAGTGGGCTTAAAACTCACAATTAATGAATTGTTCCAATTCGAAAAACCCAACCTTCACCCACAGGCACTCAGGCAGTTATATCATATAAGCACTTAGCCTCATGGTAAGCATGCTATCATGGCAGTCACTCACACGCATGCGAGGATGCTAAAGCACAAAACATGATCCTAACTATACAGAAATGCCTAATGCAACACATGCAAAATGCAACTAAGATAGGCTCGGCTATTCTAAAGATGGCATATGAAATGCTACAACTAACAAGTATTCAACTTGGAATTGAAATACAAATGCAGTTAGTATGGTGCGCCGAGCCCGGTGCATATAAGACAGATGAATGATGCAAACATGCTATCATACTGTATGCTAATTGAAACATGCCGTAATCTAACCATCATAAGCTGGTAAATGAAATGGAGAAAGACGTGGGATTGGAAGACATACATCATACACACGCATACTTATTACAACATTGCCCTCGCTCGGAGGGTCCGAATAAATAATATACAGTCTGAATAAATAGTAGAGTCCGAATAAATACAAAAATCCTAATTAATTAACAGATTAATCTAGGAAAGCAGATAAATTAGCACACAAATCCACGGACTGCCTCAGCTCTTATTCCGAATGATGAATGATGTATGCTTGAGTTGCCTTGCGCGAAAATCTATTGCAATGCCCCGGTTTGCCTCTGTTTGCAATTTTTCTCGGAATATTGTGCAAAGCTCCAGAAGGCCGCTGATTTCTGATTTACTGCAACAGAAGACCTAAACTCCATCATGGGCAATCCGGAGTGTTGGCGACAGGGAATTGAGACACGTTCCGTCACTCGGAGTACGAAACGTGCCTCATTTCCTGTGCTCGGGCTAACTCCTATCGCAAACACAATGCAAATGAGATGGCATACACAATGCGACTAACATACAACCTAGCATACGCAATGCTATGAAATGGCATACATAATGCTCTAACATGCGACCTAGCATACGCAATGCTATGAATTGAAAAGGCATACACAATGCATAATGGACTTATACCAACATGAGTGGACCTCAGCCACACTCGCATCAGTGGCCATTAGATGAAAATGAGATGACCGAAATGCGTGCACACATGCACGCAAATCGAGGACCGAACCTAAGGCATTAAATGCCACTCTACCAAAGCATGGCAAGGATGAAGCATGGTATTCAAGAATGTAATTTTCAACACTGAAACATAATGCTAAATGGTCCCGAAACA